ATCTGTCAAAAATAATTTGTTGTCAACAAGCTTATTGCCTCCAAGGGATTTAAATGCTCTTTTGGAGAGCCAGTGTCTTACACTATTGGCTAACGTCCTGTATTTTGTTTGGGGCAGCAGGACGGAAGGCTTCAAAAAGAATAAAAAAAAATGCTAAAGAGTTTGTTCCTGAATACTGAGCTGCAGAAACTTCTCTTCTTATTAAACAGTCAATTTTTGTGTACATGGTAACTTGAGACTACATAACCTCAAGATAAGTTAGAAACATGCAGTTCCTCTCCCCTGCAAATGGAGGGGAGCATCAAATCAAAATCAGTGTTTTGGGTTAGTTCAAAACAGATAACGTGGAGTAGTATTAGCTTGTTTTTTTTCTCCTGACTTCATGAGTTGTGTAGACCGTGTTTATAAATTGCAAGGAAACTTTTGACAAAGCTGTTAGTCATTTAGACTTCAGTCAAATTGTGTATGGTTTTGAAACCTGAAGTTTCAAATAATATTTTTCACAGCTCCACTGATGAGGCATTTCATTAGCATTGGAGCCTATGTTGGCTGAGAAAATAACCTTTTACCATAGGTTCCATGCATGCATTTAATCTCTTTTCACTTTTATTTTTTCCATCTGATGGAATGTATCCCTCTCTTCCCCATCACTGTTGTTTTCCAAGAGTTATTCTGTTATACAACATAGCACATAGCATCTTTTACTTCTCCAGAAAGACTTACCAGGCCAATAAAAGTTTTTTTTTTTTTTTTTTTTTTTTTTTTTTTTAATAGATCCTAAGTCATTTGGGAAAATTACTGTGCAGAAAAATTGCCCAGAAAGTCCCATCTAATGCTAGGCTTCTAAACATCTTAAAACTGTTCTATCCCATGACTGTGGGTTTGCTGGTGACAAATGTTTTATGGGCATACTTTAGTGGACACCCGTCTAAAATCTGTTCTTAATAGTCAGATCCTAAATTAGAACCAGAGGGGCAGAAAAAACAGATTTGAAACGTGTTTCTAAGGGTTTGTTTTTACTTTCAGTTGAGACTGCCTTCTCTCATCTTTTGTACTGCTGTCAAAAGGGCCACTCTCATGGTTGTTCAAACTCCATGCTTCTTGACAGGAACAGTTGGACCCCTCTTCAATGATTTTCAGATGAAACGGCTTCCAAACCTCCAGAGCTTTAACTTGTAGTTATTAGGCCCTTTGAAATAGCAACACATTAATCAGCTGAAATCAAGTGGTCCTTTCTCCAAGGCTGTGTTGTTGCTGTTCTCTTCTAGGTAGAACTATAGTCTAAATATTAGTTTCAATAGCTCTTTTTCTTCCTCCAGATATGTCTATCCCATTTCTGCTTCTATTTTGATCATTATTTTGCAATGCTGTGAATTAAATTGCTCAGTTCTATAATGGGCTTTTATACTCTCAAATTGCATTAAGAGATGTAATGCAGAAAGCTAGTTTTCACTTGCTTGACTTTTATTTTAGAAACTGGTTACTGTCCTTTTAACTTTTCTCATGCACAGTATGAAGCCCAGCAGAAAAGGTGTCAATGATGTAATGGATTATGTCTGACAGAATTTGGTCTAATGATGAAGTGAAACATGAAAAAATAAAGTATGGTTTGTTAAAAAACAGATCATTTGAAATCGGGGTGCTCTTGGATTCTGTCCCTGGCTACTGTGATCTTGAGCAAGTGATCTGAACCTGTTAGTGATTTCCTTTACCAGCCTCTGTATTAGGCAAAAGACAGACTAGTGACTACAAGAAATTGGGAATATACTGAAGGTTGCAGTAGCTATTATATATATATATATATAAATGTATATGTGTATATATATATATATATGTTAGCAGTGGAACCATTCTCAAGTTTTGATAAAAGATGTCATTAGAAAATAATTTGAGGAGGATAATGCAGGAGCTTCTCCCAAACGTAAGGTATCACTGGGGAGAAAACAAAAACATGCATAACAGAAAGCCCATTTGGGGAGTAGGTGTCTATACCACAGGCCTTTTGGTTTTGTTGTTGATGCCCTGGTGCTGCATGAGAGCTGAAAAAAATAGGTCATGGGCTTATATGGGAACTGCTTTGATGGCTGATGCTGTAGAGCTAGTGAAAAGACTGTTAGAATGCAGAAATATTTCTATTCAGTTTATAAACACCCTCTGAACTTTTATGATGTACTGTATGTTCACAGCAATCATTTCCCATACCTCGGAGGCTAAATAATTTCTGAATAGCTAAATCAATTTGTCTTGTATCTGTGTTGTGTCACAGTAATGAAAGCTCCTCTGCTGCGATGGTAGCAGTAAAGCAACTCTTCTTAAGTAGATGTGGGAGCTCTATCAAAGTGTCGCTGTCTGAGCTATAACTCAGCAGCTGATTAACCAGTCAGCATTAGAAAGGAAGCGACAGGATGCCTCAGCTATCAGTTGAGACTACACTGGGATTTTGTAATTAGATTTTAAGTTTTATTTAAGGTCTGAAACTTAATAATACACAAAATATACTGTTGGATCTAAAATCACCAAGGTCTTGATTTTGTATCTTGCCTAAATGACCTGTGATTACAAGGTTGTATTATACTTGCAACTGAGCGGAGCGATGTTCATATAGGATGATGACAGATGCACTAAAATTGGTTCAAGTCCTGCAACTGAATGAATGAAGAGAGGTTCTTCAAGAGCTTCATTGACTTCTGTAGGACTTTGCATAGCTGACTGCCAGTGGAGTCTTTTTGCTGCATTAAGATGAGACTGAGTTCACATATAACCCAGGGACATCATGTGCATGCAACCTTCTCCAACAGGCTGAAATCAATTTTTTGAATTCATACCTAGCAATGTGAATTTATATAAAGGAGTTTGCATAAGAATCAGGTGTGTATCTGTGTATGCATCTATTTTTAGCTATTTATATATATACCCTAGATTGTTATATGCATATATATTTGCAATAACATATCCTCATTCTTTAGAATGATGCTTGAGGTGGGATGGGAGCTGGTATCACCTTCACTTTATCTTACAAGCAAACAAAGATTCATTCATTCAAGAGAGTTGGAATAGCTTCAGAAGAATTTGTTTGGGTTAAAACTTTTTATTTATGGAACTTTTTCTTTTTAGCTTGAGATACCACAATTTTTGATGCCTCCTGTAAGAGAGATCAAGTATCATGCCTTCTTGCCAGCATTCTTGTGTTTTGGTTGCCTTGCTTATGTATGAAATTTGACTGTTGGAATCATTATCACTTCTAATATTTTAGTATGTTGAAAAGCATGATCAAAAAGAAATCAAAACCTAATCCTCTTCTAAGTTCCTAAGCTGCAAATCAATAGTATGGGGATATGTTTTTTGGATGTCAGCCCATTTTATGAACACATATATCTCAAAGATTGTTTTACTGGCCTACAAATGCCTTGAACAAGATGACAGTCCAATTCCTTGCATAGCAACAGCCAACATAAAATCAGGTTTGCTCTAGAAAATGCTACTGCTATTTGGGCAGGGCTACGTATACAGTCATTGTTTCTTGGTTTATGTTTGGCCCTGGTAGATATTAACTGGCCAATTGTCTGATGTCAGGCAAGCCTTTTTGTTTAAAAGTTACAACAGCTGTTGTTTTTTAGGTGTATGAATTCTCACCCCACTGAATGCAGTGGGAAGTAGTGTTTTGGTACACTGTGGCTAGACTTTTTGGTCCATAACACAATATATGTTGCCATAAATATCCCATTCTAAAAAAGCCAGACTTGCCTTCATATATAGTGTCTGACAGACCAAGGATTAATGGAAATAGAGATTTAACTTTCTAATCACACAGAGTTTTCCTCTCATTGCAGTTTGAGATGCATTAACTGAAGGATCTGACTTATTTTCACTTACCTGTATTATTCTGAATTTTTTTTTCCTGATCATTTTAGATATTCCTATGGGGAAAGAAAAATATGATAAGTGTATTTGTGTCTAGTTTTTAAAGGAGATTGTTTAAAATAGCTTAAAGTTACTACAGGCATTAGGTCGCTCTTTTGAAAACACTATGTGAGAGTAGAAAAGGAAATGGGATCACAACATGCATTTTATGGCTGTTCTGGATATAGATAATTAACTTTGTTTTTCCAACCACTCCAAGTATGGAGTATATTCAGGTATCAATGGTACTTGTAAGATGGGATTGCAGTTTGGCTTGGTATCATATTTTTGAAAAATACTAAGTGCTTTTTCAATTCCCCATCATATTGGTTACATGTTTTGCCGATCCAAATTGCAGAACAGAACTTCAAAATTTTGTTTCTGCTATTGCAATCAGTGGATTTTGTCAGACACCACTCTGAAGATACAAACTCATACCCTTTCTAGGTAATGAGACCCCACGAAACCATTGAAATCAGAATATGCTTTGCTGGAAAATGGCAAATGTATGGGAATGGAGAATCGGATTGCTGGATCCTTTCCCAAAATAATGCATCACATGCAACCTAGAGCCTTGCCTCCTGGAATGTGATGGTCTTTCCTCTGTGTTGCTATGCCAAGAACACAGGCGGATTAATTGTGAAAATGAATTTGCTAAGCATCCCTCATTGAGCAACTGGAGAGGTGGATGGCTCCTGTTACACAAGAAGAAGAAACTCCTCTAGCCTGTGAAAGACAGGCTGGCAATTAGGGTTTGATGAAGTGCAGCAGGTCTATTATGCTCTAGCATTAATGACAAAGACTGTTCAGGCTTGAGGAAGTCCCAGGAAGGAGTGAATAATGCCTTTGGACCAAACTTACGTTATGGCCTTCACCAAAAACAGGGAGGGAGAAGCTAACAAATAGCAGCCTAATGGATTCAAACAGAATAGAAAGAGAGTACACTTTGCAAGCAGATTTTCTTTGCCAAAATGAGAATATGAATGAGGTTAAGAGAGATTCAAGGATGAATGCACATCAGGATAATGACTGAAAGGCCGTCTTGTATGTCTTTTTACTTACTACTTGTATGCTCCCTTCTATTGCTTTATTTCTCCCAGGTATTTGTGGTCACCGTGTGGAGCGTGGAACTGTACATGGTGCCCCTGGCTCTGCTTGTGCTCTTTGCATACAACTTCTCCCTCGTCAGAACAGGGAAGGTCAACACCACCCAAGATGCCCAGGCAAGTAAAATTGCAGTAACGTTTCTGGCAGACCCAGCTTGAATTTGCCCTTGAGCAAGTTGTCATGCATTTTAATGGTATCAAGCTAGTTGTGTAGCTAAACATTTTTATTTCAAAGTTACTGAAAAGAAACCTCCACCCTCTCAATTTTTCTGATTCAATTCAGGCAATAAACCATTCAGTGTAGTAGGGGGAAGAAGACAAGAGTATGTAGGAGGAGGGGGATTTCACTTAAAAAGGTTTGCAGTGATTTTGTAACCAAGTTGAATTAAGAAAGACTTACAAAATGACAAGACCCCCAGATCCATGCCCCCACTGCTCTTACACTTTGCATCACGCTGATGATTCATGATTCACAGAAGAGGAAAGTCAATACAGGCTGAAAGTGAAGTTAGTTGTTTTTTAAACCTTGTTGGATTATCTGAGACTTCAAGAAGAAAAACTTACTCCTCCCACCTGTCCCCCCAGTTTTAATTTTTTTTTTTTTTTTTTAAAGTTAACCTTCAGTTCTTTAACTTGACCTAGGAGGAAAAAAAAAGAAAGAAAAAAAAAAGGAAAAAAGATTATAACACACACAATATATTTACATGCTGCAAATTACAGCTGTTGAGATATGAGACTGTTGTTGCCCACTGTCTTTACTTGCATGACACTAGTAATTATAGTTAAAGAAGAGAAATTCAGGGATTTCCATAATGTTCCATTTTAGAATGTGTAACAAGTACAAGAATGAAATATAAGCTGAACTAAATATTCTAATTTCTGATAAAAAATATGATTGACATTTGTACCCCTGAAGCCTACCTTTACACAAATCGATTGCACGGATTTTAAATAGACGGATACTATCCTAGGATTAAAAAAGGTCAATTGCTATTGCATTAGCAACAAAAGTTGCTTCTAGTTCAGTTTTGATCAGTCCCCATATGGAAAGATTGTTGGAACACAGGGCAAGTGTGTTCCATATAGGGACCAGGATGTAGACTTGATTTGAAGATAAATGGTAAAAGAAGTGCTTTTCTTCAATTCCGTCTAAGTCCAGAATAACACAGAAAGATATTGTATGTCTCCAGTGACTACTTTATTTCATCAAGAAAATGAGAACTTCCCATGTGGGAGAATCCCAGCCAATCTTTTTTATTTTATTTTATTTTATTTTATTTTATTTTATTTTATTTTATTTTATTTTATTTTATTTTATTTTATTTTATTTTATTTTATTTTATTTTATTTTATTTTATTTTATTTTATTTTATTTTATTTTATTTTATTTTATTTTATTTTATTTTATTTTATTTTATTTTATTTTTTTATTTTTTATACAAAAGGCAATATAAAATAATGCTAGGTTACCCAGGAAAAAATACACGAACACTACCTCTCAGCACCTACTATTCTTCCTATGGTGAATTTGTTGCATATTCAAGTGAGTTGTCTCACATAAGTCAGCAAGATTGAGGAGCATATCATTGGGATAGATGCTACAAAAAGCTTGTGTCTGAAAATGCAAGTTAATTGTAGCAGTACCGAAGAAAGGTCCAGCAGAAGGTTTGCCCTTTTTCTGTCACACACATCCTGCAAGGAATGAGATACTGTGGAATTCAGGGGTGTATTTTGCATAAGCAAAATTACACATCTGCCTAAGAGCTTTGTAGGATTGGGATCATATGGAACAAGTAGTCAAAGTGCCTTTAATATTACCTGATTTCTTTTTTATGTGTGCCTGTGATTCTAACCATCTGTAGGTCAAAAATAGACAATCAGGTGCTACTTCTAGTCACATCTGTCCTGCAGATGACAAAAGGTTTTCTTCAAAATACCAGTGTTTTTTGCACATTCATTTATTTATTTTTTGCTTCTTCAGATCTTGGCACTACTTTTGTTTTCTGTGTGCCAGCATGCACATTTTGTGTATATAGAAGAAAGAGAACAAGAGTTTTTGGAAAAGAGGACATCATATTCTCTCCCTGATTTCTGTGCTATAAAATGGGGATAACAGTATTAACCTTGTAGGCATGATCCAATTGCCAGGAGGCTAAAGTCATGAATATTGGTAAAAATGCTTTATGATTTACAGATGGGAGCTTCTATAGAAATGTAAACCATGATCACTGTTAATTCAACTACTCTGGGTATTGGAGAGAGCCAAGGAGTAAGTCTGGATATCTGAGTTCTCGGTACATGTGTGTACTAGATGAAACTCTTTTTCTGGAAAAGAATAAAAACCAAATCCCAAACATCTTTTATTCTGATTCTTCACATTCTTTTATAGTTATCTGTATTTAAACTTGTAATACACTGATTCAAATACACCTATTAAATAACTAAGAAGAACCTGGAGGCTCAGCTTATAAAATACCTGAATTGAAAGCCAAGTGCTCCTAATTTCAAGCCATAGCCAAGTCTTTTGTTTTCTCCTCTACCTGTCAGCACAGAAGTTAAAGGGAGAAAATAATGCGGCATAGAAATCTGAATGTGATTCATGAGATTGATTATGTTTATACTAATGTATTTTCTACCAGCTAATGCTTCAGTAATGGCCCTAAAGAGAGGGAGCAGTCATTGTAGCAGCGAGGATGGAACAAGTTGAGTATAGAGTCCTCAGCCTTGACATGCCGACTGGTTCATTTGTCAGACTAAGAACAAAGCTGTTTACAGATAGTTAAAGTTGGCAATGAATTTGAAAGCCTGTTGCCTTCAAACTACTGGACACAACCACTAATGCTTTATGTAGACTTAAAATTGGTATAGGGCATTGCATGCTTTGTTCAAGCCGTCACAAAAAAAGTCCTTGAATACAAAACATTATTTCTGAAAGGTGAAAGTGGTGGGTTTGTTAATGACTTGTAATAGAAGTGGGAGAAAACTGTGTAATGAAACATTGTGGGAGTATCATAAGCTTTTTGAATGTTGCCTGCCACTGAGAATTAAGTGTAATGTTTTCTAATGTGGGCATCTGCTTTTGCAGGATCTTATGGGCTTGGATGAAGATGACGATGAGGATGATAAGGTAAGCATATTTCATGATGGTATGTTAGCTAGAATCAGAAGGAAAGTGGGAGAGCACAAACCCATCACCCTATCTCCTTGAGATCTCCGTTCATTGTCTGTATTAACTGGGAAAATAATTGTTACCAGTTTGCTGCTGAGCAAACTTTAAAGATTGAGAAGGTTGGTTGGTTTGTGTAACATTCAATAATGGCATTAGCTGTATGAGACCTGTGAATTTCATTTCAGTCTGAGCATTTGAATCTGCTGTGTGCTTGAAATCATAAAACACATGTTCACGTATGTGTCCATATGTTTATGGGTGGACAAGGTAAGTACATAAAATTCCTCATCGCTTCCATTGCGAGTGTTGGATATGCAGTCTGCACTGATGGCTTACCGCAAATTATTTAGTATTTCCATTCTCATAGGCCAGAATTGCTGTGATTTCTGGAGGACAGCTTAGAGTTTTCTCAATATTTCTGTTAAAGCCTGGGAAAAAATGGTTTTAGTTTGTTGGCTGAAATGTAGAAAGAATAGGAATTGGCGAGGCCTGTTCCTCGTTTTATTAGAGCATACTTACTCATTCTTCTCACTATGAAAAATTCATTGGATTTTTTTCAACCTTATCAAACCACAGTGACAAATGATAAAAGGATTAGAGGGCATGACATATGAAGAAAGATTAAGAGAATTTAATGTATACAGCTTGAAAAAACATAAGTAAGTGAAGGAGGATCTGATAATCTATAAATACTTCAGAGCTAAAAGGTGAGGAATTATTTAACGAGCAACAGCATGCAAAGAAACATTAGCTGTTAGGAAGAAAATGTTCACAAGGCAATGTGAAACTTTCAAATTGCATACTAAGTTAATAAAATCTTCTTGAATATTCTGTTTTAAGAGTGTTAAAGTGAAATTGTTGATCGTTGAGAAGGAAATCAATACCACAGTTAGCAAGTGCACCTTAACTCTCAGTCAAAGATGCTTGAATTGAAGCTCAGCAGACTAATTGACGGAAATAGTTATTTAAATTTAACCTGCTCTTCTGCGGTTGTTATATTTTGATGAACAACCAGAAACCCATCAAAGTTATAAACTGAAGTTTAGACAAGCCAGTTAAATTACAGGTTTCTTGCAATGCACAATAATGATTTAAATTCTCTTATTTATATTTAATTCTTTGCATTGTAAAATTGGTCAACTAAATGGATCAATATCTGAAATTAAGCAGAAGTTGATAAATGAAAGTTGAATTATTTTCAAAGGAATGTTATCCCTCTAAAACTTGATAATTTCTATTTTGTGGGTACTCAATGTTAGATGTCAGTATATATTGAGCCTGTATTTTCTGTGTGATGCTTAAATGTGTATCTTTATCCTCTGGAACCAATCCTATTTACATTTTTCTTTTTTAGTTTTCCAGAATTTTTACTTTCAAGTGCTGAGGTGGAAAAACATGTGAAAATGTATTAAATACATACACAGTCCTCTGCCTGTGATGTGCAACAGACTAATTGCTGTAAACCAAAATATTCTAGGTCAGATTTACCCTGGCTATTACTTTTGTGACTTTGGTTCTCTCTATAAATTCATTTGGGACACTTAAGTATGGATCTAATCACTTTGCATTTTTGTCCCCTGCTAATCAACTCCACTATCATTTTCTTTTTTTAGTTTATTTTGACCAAGTGTTGTAGTCTGGGAAAAATCCTGAGAGTCAATGTTGAGCTGTCAATGATTTGGCTCAGTTGTTTTGCTGTAATCAACATTGCCCCTTTCATGCAGTAAAGGCCCTTAGAAATGGAGAGCTGAAAGAATTAATTAAAGCAACTCAGTGGACATCTCCATCAGGCTTTCTGATCAAGATAATGCTTTATATCCCAATATGACAGCAATGATAATTCATAACTTGTATTTGTTGTGTACTAGTGTTACGTGTCTATGAGATTCAGACATAGAATTATTAGAGAATTGCCAGCCATTATGTGTATCCCATGTCATGTGCTTTGTAGCACTGCCTTAATGTCTTCATGCTGTCTTGAGTACGTTCCCTTTGCACCGCTGCTAGACCATGTGTGCACTCTGACTTGCATCTTTAAGTACATTAGGTTACTCTAAGTGACTTTTCCAAGTCTGAGGGTGGCCAATGCTCTCTAGGGAGTGTAAGAAAAATGTAATTTTATGACATTATCTCATTGCAATGTCAACGTTTAAACAGACAACTATACTTTAAAAAGAAGTCTGTGTATTTTTTTCCTCCCTAATACAAGAACTCCTAAAGTTGAAATCTGTTAGTTGGGTTGTAGTATACAAGGTCACTGTTTCTGTTTCCTATCATCGTGTTGTACGAAAATAGTCGCACACATAGCCTTTCTGGGTTCTGCTGCAAGTTAGACATAACAGACCATGCTTCTGGGAATTGTAACACACCCTCTAAGAGACGAACTGTTTACAAATTATAAATACACAGATGCTTAGTTCAAAAAACCCAAGAGCAGATTAACTCCCTCCACCTAAACTATCTGTCTTAAATGACAAGGCTTAATTGCCTACTCCTCCATTCGTTCCCTCTCTGTCCTTTCCGAATACCATCATGGAGGACTGTAAAAGATAAGAGAGATGTGTCCCTTTGGCATAAACTGCTGGATAGATGAATGCCTTCTCGGATTTGTGCCATCTTGGATGTAGAGTTCAGGCTGTGTCCTGTCAGCTCTGGGGTCTGTCAGACTGTCTGAATAAGGATTGTTTTAAAATTACATCACTGAAATATCTTTTGCCCGCCAGTAGAAAGGTATAGACAAGTTGCTTGCAGCTTAAATCATGAGTCATCTGATTGTAGAGCATTTCTATTTATTTTACTTTTTTTTGGTTGTTGTTTTTTTTTTTTTTTTGACAACAACTGTAAAGTTTCAAGAGCAGATGGTCACCTTGTTGAATGAGTGTAGCATAGCACCCGACTGTAAAGAGTTTTGGAGTCTTCTTGTGATCTTAAGTTTTCTGGATAAAAGTTTGCATTTCCTCTGAAATAGGAGGTGATAGTGTGGTGGAACAGTTACTACTATTTCCAGATTTGGTAACTGACTTAAAAGAAAATCAGAGACAAAAATAAATCAACAGCACTTCCTTTTTTTGTTTTGGAGGGTCTCCATCCAGTGATGAGCCAAAAGAGCCATGCTTGGCTAATGGGGTGTAATAGGGAAGGATTAGATGACACTGCGACTTCAAGCCAAGTCAGCTGGCAACTTACAAGAAATTTTTAGTACCTCATGGCTATTCTTTTGGCGTGTGGGGTCCCCAAAGAAGAAAAACTCAGTCTTTTTAATATACGAAATTCTCTGTCAAAAATAGGTACAAAAAATGTACCAACTTTTATCAGCACAGTTCAAAAAGACTCCAGCTGAACAAATTAAAGTCAAATTCATCCAGTAGCAAACAGCTGACATTTTCCATTTGTGTTAGATTCAGCATGTGGAAACCTTCCGTATGGATCTTATTTGTACGGGTGGATTATGATGAAAATTGCATTAATTTTCTCCACAGTAAAGGTCAGTAATTGAAACATGAACCAAGAGTCTATTGTGTAAGATGCTATATCCCCATACTTAGGAAAGGTCATACAAGACAATATCATCTCATTGTTTTCTTCCCTGAAAGTATAAATAATTTCATTATTTTTTTTTCTTTCCTCTTCAATACCACAATTGCAATATAATATTTCAACATCTCCCATTGAGATAACTGAAGAAAAATGATGGTAAAGGCTTGAAAATACCCCATCATACAAAGGTTACGTTCAGACTAACAAGGCTGACCCACCTTCTTCACAAAATTGTGGCCAAGATGGCATCATTAAAAAACAAAACAAGGTGTGTTTTTGTGTAGGTGTGGACTCTCTTAAGTTGCTGATTTCTGTTCAGTGGACTCTTTGTGGTTCTTCTCTTACTGCTTCCTAACAAGTCATTGTACAGACCATGAATAAGTCAGGCTTCTCCATCAGCTATAACAAATACTACGGGACAGATTCTGCAGCTTGCATGAGGTACGCTGGAGGATGCACTTCTAAGCACACACAATTGTCCTGTCTTGCAGCTATCTCAGCTAAAGTTCCCAGATATCACTTAAGACACAATTATGACTTCTGTGAGCTTTCTCCAAGCTTCTTATTAACCTAATCAACTTCTGGTTACGCCAGAGTGCAGGGATTGCTCTGGTTATGCTTTCATCTTTGCAAAGTCTCCTTTGTACCAGAAACTGGGAGAAATATGGTCTGTTATTTCTCTCTTACATTGTGGCATTGTTTGTGATCTGTAGGCACCCTATACCTTGGCACATCCTTGTCTCATCATCATGGCCCACTATCAGTCAAACCATCCATAGGTATAGGAGTGATAAGATAGAGAAATTCAAGGCAGGGAGGGGGGCAGGGAGGTTTCCATATATCCTAGGCACTGTTGCATAGCTCTCCTCAAATATAAACCTTAGCAGCCCTAGGGAGTGTAAAATTCTTCTGCTTTTCCTGCAGGTAGGTAAACTAACACTCTAACTTCTCTAAATCTCTGGAGGAATATTAAATAGCACCAATCAGGCTTCCGGGCTGAGCTCATAAGCTTTAGGGAGTTCTTGTCCCTTAAAAATTCTGACTAGTTAAAAAGTTTTTAAAATTTCTTTTGAATTGGCAGATGTATGAATAGGTCTATCTTCCTCTTGTACCCCAAATTGCTAAAGATCATTACCTAGATTATAGATGATGATCCAGTAGTTTGTCTAACCACTGTGCGATTGTTCTTATGTCTCGTGTATTTCCAGGAGAAAGCACTTCTTTTTTTTCTTTTTCTTAAAGTTGTTTTCTTTTCCTCTCTTTTCTTTCTTTTCCTCTTCCCTCTTCCTTTTTTTTTTTTTTTTTTTTTTTTTTTTTAGATAAAAGGTGACTGATGAGTTTTTTCTTTAGTCATTGTGCACATAAATGGTGTTTTATTCTGTTGTGACTGTTGATATTGCTTTAAGACTTGTATCGCCAGA